ATCGCCGGCGTCAAGGAGGGGCAGAATCTTCTCAATCCAGTCGTCGACAGCCTGACCAGCCTGGACCAGGAGCATGACACGGCGAGGAGACTTGAGCTTGCTGACAAACTCCTCAACGGTCTTGGCGCCGACAACGGACTTGCCCTTAGCCTCGTTTTCCAGGAATCGGTCGACCTTGGAGACGGTTCGGTTGAAGGCGCAGATGGTGAAGCCGTTGTCAGCCATGTTCAGAATAAGGTTCTGTCCCCTGTGAAGCATGTGAGTATGTGCTACCACTGGCATTGCCAGGTGAGTGGTCCTTGGGTCAAACTTACATGACAGCAAGGCCGATGAGGCCCAGATCCGCACTTGCCATAATGTCAGCATTCGTCGCATTTTGATTCGTAGCAGAGCTTGAGAGTGAGGTGAAGGAATTGTGTTGTTGAGGGGCACCCAGGTTGAGGTGAGCGAGACGAGCTCTACCTCGAGAACATGAGCCATGATCACGATGAGGATGAAGACTGCGAATGCCCCAAACAGTCCAGGCACGGATTCAATGTGGCGATCCCTTCATTTCTCGCTCCAGCGTCCGGAGGGCGCGGGGATGAGAGCATGAGATCATCACCATAAGGCCGTGGCGGGGTGGTGGGGTAAAATGTCAAGAGATGAGGTATGAGGGAGGCTTCAACTTACACAGGGCCAGACATGATGGGCTATGATATGCGATCGGGGAGTGGTATGTATAGAGATTGAGGCTTTTTGAAGATGTATGAAGGAGAGAAAGAAGAGGAAGGGAAGAAGGTGGGAGGAGATGCAAAGTTGTAGAGAAATATACCTGGCGATGAATGTTGTCACACCCGTGCCAAAGTTGGGCGCTCGGTACCTTGTCCGCACTCACCTCCCAGTCCACCTGCTGTGTGAGCTGGAAGGATGCCCACCTTTTTTTTCTTTCTGCCGCTTTGCATTTGGCTCAACTAAGCAAACGCGACGCAATGCGCTTCAAAAGGCTCAATCCAATACAATTGACCTGGTCGGGCATAACGCCAAGTATGGTGGAGCTTCCGCATTGATTGGCGGGGCTCTTCTCAACTGTTCATCGTCATCGTCACTATGGTGCGGCCGAGATTGATACTGAGATGATAGGTGTTTTTCTTCCATTTACATCGCATTTTTACCACAGCTCGGTGATTATGAGTAATTGCGGTTCTAGCTGATCTCCCACTCATCCTGCCTTAATCATCGTTACTAAGGCAATCTACTCATCCGCTATGCCAGCCCTCCAAACACTTATTAAATTTACCAATACAAACTAACTTTGCATCAATTCCTCAGCAGCCATCATCATCATCATGACTGAGGTAATGCCCCTCCACTCCTTGTACCTGCTGGCTGGCCAATGGCCATCAGTAGGGGTCCATCGTTTACGGACACCAAGTTCCAGAGATGGGATTTTCCCTCACATTTATTTAGCGGACTGTAGCGCCTCGCAGCGTTACCCCTCTAGGTCCCCCCTTCTACGCCCCTTAGCTCCAACGTTATGACGACTCCGCGGTGCTGCTGCGGTCTTACCCCCAAGATGAACCCCAAAGCTTACCAAGATTTTTGAAACCGTGACACAAGCAACACAAATCTCGTACAAAGCTCGCCGCATATTAGTCTGGATGGATTGCTTTCCGTTGTATCCGCCTCACCTCACTAACATCCATAGTCAAGCCCTTAGTCCTCGACCTGTCCCGTGCGCGGTATCGACATCTCCTCGTCTCAGTTTGTTCTTCAAGCTTATGCTTGTTGGGATAACCTCCAAGCCCAGCCTTTCTCTGCGATCCTGCAATGCTGTCCGAGTGTTGGGACCCACGTCTTCCGAGCCCGTGTAATCACTGCCGTGCCAATTGACTTGTTCGTCGGACAGTAGCCCGAACCCCAACGCGCCTTAGCCTTGGCGAATCCGTACCGAATGCCCCGAAGGCGGACACCGAGAATCCTAAAGAAAAAGGCCGCAAACGCTGAGCTCAGTCCAGGTGTACTCTCAACCAACCCAGGTGCACTCTCAGCCCAGTTCACAAGTCCAGCGACTCCAGCCTGACCGAGATGCCCCACCGGAATTTAACCCGGCAACAGTGCCACAGCGCGGTATAAGCGCCGAATCAACTTATAGCCTCACCAGTGTCCGAAGTCGCTCATGACGAAACAGCCAAGGAGATCATGAGACAGAGAATTTAAGCCTCAGACTGGCCAAGCAATATCCGCTTCAGGATGCCTCAGCCTGCTTCGGCAGCCGGATACTTTGAAGCGACAACAAGACTATGCCATTGAACCACGTTTGGTAACACCGAATTCTAGTTGACTCGGCTCATAGAGACTTGAAAGTCGAAACCCCCCATCGGAGATGCAAGTAACATTTGACATCGGGATAAAAGGTAATAATCAAGTTCCGCTTGTCTTGGTCTATATTAGCCGCCAAATTCTGCCGCCGAAATTATCTTGAGAACGGATCAGGTCGTCCATTTTCACCCATCCCATGTACATGGATATTAAACTATCCGAACATTCATCCAGCCTCTCAAATAATAGGTGCGGATACACATTTTGACCAAGTTCCAGAACTTGCTATGCGCTATATACAACATTAACCCCCACCCTAAGATGAAAAAAGCCCCCATAACTGCAGATTCATTGAATGTTCAAAGCTCACAATAACCACCAAGAACCAATCTTGTTATGAAAAGCATGTTGCACTATGATATTGAGATCGCATGTTGTGATTGCCATGAAATTTTTCGGATTAGTCAGTAGCTTTCTCTCCAGACAAAAGCTTTTATGACCACGTCAAGCCCGTCAGCTTCCGAGCCGAGGAATCTATATGCCATAGGTTTTCATAATTCGAAGAGGCTCTAGCCGGCCAACGTAGGCTGCACATCACCCACTCCAGCTCGTGGGGGTGCAAGTTGTTTAATACAGGCGACAACGCCCATTGTGCCCGACATCGCGACCCAAGACAAATGGGAACCCGAAATTTCATGATACGTTGATTCAAGAAAGCAACACTAGGCCTGGCATTTGAACTTCAGGCCATACAATTGAACATATATGGCCATTTATCTGAGCTTAATGAAACGGAGGTCTCGTAGAGCGCACGTGATGTCCAAGTCCCACTTAATTTAGGCCGTTTTGTAACGAAGCTAGAGCGAATCAACGAAGACTATCATAAGATCCATTTTCTTCCATACAACAACAGTTGCCATCGCCGTCGCCATCGCCATCGCCGTCGCACCGCCGCAAAGCACCGCCGAGCCCTTCCGATAAAAGCTGCGCACGCTGGGAGTCTCTTGAAAGAGGAACTTGAGCAGAATTTGGCTCAAGGTACGTTTTCTCGCAAACACTACACCGCTTCCTCGTATATCCGCTTGTATTCATCATGGCGTACCCTCCTCCTCCAGGCATCAGCAACAACTCTCTCCCACCGAGACCGCCCGCTTCCAAGTCAGGTTTCAAACCTGCTTTTTCCTCAGCAGCCCAGGCTGCTTCGAAGCCAGCGTACTCGAACGCTCCGCCGACGTACTCTGGCCCTTCGAGTTACTCTGCTCCCAATGCTCCATCCGCAACTCAGTATGGCCCATCGTACTCTTCGTACCCGACTACTGCTCCCGGCGCGGTGAACTCGGGTCCCGCATATTCGTATCCTCAACAGCAACAGAGTTACAGTACCCAGAACTACAGCGTACAAAGCTATGGCCCTCAGAGCTACGAACCGCAAAGCTATGGCGCAGCACCACAGATTGCGAACCCATTCCCTACTCCAGGCACTGCGGGGACCGACTACAACCCCGAGATGGCCGCCCAGATAGCGCAATGGCAGAGCGCATATTCGAGCACCCCGGCAGATAGCAAGGATAAGGCCCCTGGGTTTACGGGGCCTCGAACAGATGGCCAAACTTCTGCGGCCGCGGCAGCTACCACTGCGAACCAGGAGCGAAAGAAGACAGTCATCCGAGAAGGCGGTGGTAAGAAGTGGACAGACGACAGTCTTCTCGAATGGGATCCCTCCCATTTACGACTCTTTGTCGGTAATCTTGCAGGCGAGACCACTGATGACGCCCTTCTCAAGGCCTTCTCGCGCTGGCCATCCGTACAAAAGGCCCGAGTCATTCGTGACAAGCGTACATCAAAGTCCAAGGGCTACGGTTTTGTCAGTTTCAGCGACGCTGACGACTTTTTTCAAGCCGCCAAAGAAATGAACAACAAATACATTCAGAGCCACCCTGTAACGGTTCGCAAGGCCAACACCGAAATCAAGGTAGCCAACGTCAAAGAGAAGGACAGACATGGAAAGAAGAATAAAAATAAGAAGGGTGGTCATGGCGGTGGAAATCATGGGGCTGGCCATGAACCCAGCTTAGGGCCCATGGGTGGTGGTGGAGTGGTCAAGCCTGGACAAAAGACCAAGAATGGCCTTCGCCTGCTTGGCTAAGCGTTTAACGAACTGTTCGCCCGAGCAAGTGTTGCGTTTTGGTGTTTGGTGTTTGCAGAGGTATCGTAAATACCCGGTTTAAGTGTATTAATTCCATGAAGAATATCCGGTCCACCAGGGTGTCTGGGCCCGTTTGCATTGCAATGTTATGAATTCGATCATCATGTTGGCTAAATCCTTGGAAAGGTCGTTGGCTTGGTTTTAGTCTTTCCCTGTGCCTTGAACGTAGGTAGGTAGGTATTGACCTAGAAGGTAGCATTCCATAGAACGTTTTATGCTTATTATCAGTTAAGAAAATTGGGCAAGTGAATTATGTGTGGTGTCTGGGTATATTGATATTCTTGCTCTTCTAATATCACCATGTGTCGCGGAAATTCCCAGCCTAGATTCTATCCCCAAAGTAACCCCCGGCGCCGTTGTTACATATAAACAAAAGATGGCGAGTCATTGTATCGACTCTCACTCAGTATGACAAAGAAATGTGGCCCATAGAGTCGTTATATACAGGCTCAGATATAAAACAGCAAGTTGTGGCATTGAAACGATTGTTCCCTCAACGACGCTCATTAGCTGGCGCATGGGGTTGTACATCAAGATCCAAGCCGTCGATGCTGTCACGGAGCAGACCAGTGTTTTCCGCGTCTGTGTCCCCATCGCGGTCTACGATTCCGCTAGTCTGACTCGTAGGGGAATCTGGCGCGTCATCGTCGTGCGCATGCCGAACATGAACACTTTCTTGCGCCTCTTGCCTCATCTTTGTGATTTTGATGTAGTTGTAGGCAGCGATAGCGGCCATGGTCGTGAGCAGACCAACAAAGTTGATAGGTGTGAGGCGGTCACCAAAGACAAGAGCAGCCGCACTAATAGTAACAACCTCCTTGAAGATACCAGCAATGGAGAGCGTGACGACGGAAGTGCGCTGCAGCAGAGCGAACTCGGAAGCCGTCATACAGAAGGCGATGCAACCAGGGAAAAGCAAGAAAAGGGGCGCCATGAAATAACCCCATTCATCACCGAGAACCTTGTAGCCTTCAATGAGAGCTCCGACTCCTTCCACGGGCACTGCAAGGCAGATAAGCACGAGGAACATGACCGGAGTAAGGAAGAAGATGCTAGAGAATGGATTTGATGTCGCAGGGTTGCGGAGGAGCAAGATCTGTGTCAATCCCCAGCGGAAGCCAGAAAAGAAGGCAGCTGAGATGACAAGGGCGAAGCCTCCCACCTTGAATTCAACTTCACCAAACACCATGAGCACAACACCAAGCGTCATGGTAGCAATGATGGCGACAAGACGCCATGTTGGGGTTTCGAGGCGGAAAGCAAATGCAAACATGAGAACGAAAGCTAGTGAGGAGGATTTACACATAGCTAAAGCAAAGGTTAGTTGCCTAAAGAGCTCAGACATAGAGACAACATACTGTAAAATGTAAGGCTAATGAACTTGAGAGAGGTATTGCCAAGTCCAATATCTAGGCCTGTAGCTGCACCACAAGGGCCAATTCGAGTGAGGTAAAACATCTTGGTCATGCCGTAAGACTTGGGCTCGTCATCATGTCTCGACCTGCCCATATCTGACAGATGAACCCCGTGTCCCGGTCTCAAGGAGGGCACGAAGTACAAAACTAGACCTGAGAGGACAAATTGAACCACCATGTGCATAGAGGTCGTAAACAAAGGAAATGCAAAGTTCAGCCGTTCGTGATCAAACATCCACTTGTTGTACTGCAAGTATGTCAGTAATTATGTTATCTAGGAACGGGGCGCAGGAGCCGTTTCGTACAATCGATATTGATAACGAAAAGAGGTACCACAAAAGAATCAACACAACGTTTACCATCAAGCTCTTGAAAACGGTCTTGTCTGCTTCTTTGCGCTCCTCTTTTGATATAGCCTTATTGTCCCTGACAATCCGTTGATCCAGCTGAGTATTTCTGCTGCGCTTCTTCTGCCGCCTCTGCTTGTCTTTGCGGGTCAATCCTGTTTCTTCGTCGTCTTGGAGGTCTTCATCGCTCAAGCTGTCGTCGGTGGATTCATCCTTCTGGGTCGCAAAGCCGTTCCCATCCAGATTTTCTTCGGATATCTTGGGTTCTTCTGTCGAGCCAGTTGGTGCGGGACCACGGCTTGTGACACGGGTTCGGCTAGGTGATCCAGCTGGCCGACCAGCCATGTTGTGGCTACTTCGCCGTCGACGGTGGCCTGCAATGGGTTCCATTTCTATATCCCAGTCGCTCTCGCTTTCCTCGTCGCCGTTGAAAGACCTCGCGCCGGTTTCACGAGACGGGCCAGCTATCGTTTGATTTCCTCCACCCAGACCAGAGTTCCGCGATGTAGCCACTCTTGTTGTGCCTGATGAGGATCCTGCCACCGATCTCAGGGGACTCGAGTCTTTGGCTGATAGAGAGTCGTCAATGAGAAGGGATTCGGGGGATTCGAGGCGATCTGGAGCTGCTACGTGTTTCGAAGACGAAGGGGGTGAGTTTGAGGAGTGAGATGGCGAGGAGATGGGATCAGGTTGAGGAGGAAGAGCGGTCATGATGGAGACAAAAGAAGGACTAGAGCAGGGGATACGATGGGGCTTTCATAAGTTAGTGATGGCAAAGGATACCCAGGATGGCTAATGGTAATGAGTTGGGTTGGTCCAGGTCTGCTGGCTTAGGTGGTCGCAAGGACTCCATTCGTACAGTAGTGCATTAGAAAAGGCGGAGGGACTAATCCTCATAGGGCAAAAGTTAAAGTCGGGGCCGTCATGGTAGGGGACCGTAGCGCTGTGGCTAAGGTACCTTAGTACAGAAGTCACTTGGAGGATTTACGTGTGATCACTGGAACACTCCGAGTGTGAGACTTGTTGGCGTCGATTGCATTGAACGGCAAATCCCACTTCTTACTCTAGGTAAATGATCATAACTCTTCAAGAACTGGCTTCTCTGCAGTTTTCTGGGTATAGCAACGTCTTTCATAAGTTCTCCTCCCGTCCGCTTGACATTTCCGGGTTACAAGTTGTTCTTCTTATGTACACTGTTAACCCAGCAGCACCAAAGTGCGGAGTGGACCTGAAGGCGTTAGGTCTCTTGGCAATAACATCCATGGAACCCGTGGCGCACTGCATATCTGCACGCGACACAGCTTCTAGGGCCTCAAGAAGAGGAAATGATTGGCTTGAGGATGATGTTTTAGAGGTTTGTGACAATAAGGTGCAAGCATACAGAGTACATAGTTCGAGGCAAATAAGTGCTCCCCACCTCTTGGTATTTCCTACGAGCTTTGCAGCAAATCCGAAGCAACAATAAGCACAAATATCATGAAGATCGCATGAAGTTGTCTGCTATTGAAAGGCAAATGATAAAAGCTGTCTGACCGCCGAGCATCAGCATTTAGTTAGGACGTAAGTTTCATCTCAACGATGACAAATTAACACACTGAACTGTATCACTTCACAGTTAGCTCAGGCACCTACCTGTTTACCGAGTAGAACTGCTTCCCGCCATACATATGCAATGAAACCTACAGGAACAAAACAGTGACTACCTAGGTAGGTAGGTACTCCTTTTAGTACCCATAGCATCAATGATCTTCAGTCCACAGCGATCCGGCTGCTGATCAACTCCGCACGTGTACATTATTTCAAGTCCAACATAGGGCATAAGGTAGTGCCCGCATGACACATGATACCTACCTACGTATATCGAGTTTTATCTAATAAGTCGTCTAACGTCCAATATTTCAGCATTGGGCTCCGACCTTGGCACACTCTCTCTATGGTCTTGTAGCTCCTGCGTTTCAAGATTTAATTATGTCTCTCGAGGTTGAAATATCCAGGAGCCTGCAGCCCACAAATCCAGGGGTAAACAAGAAGTCCCCATCTCGTATCGGATGGGTCCCTGATTTGTGCATTAAACTCAGGCACTACTCCGTAAGCTGGGTGGTTATTTAATATCATGACCAGTTCCTGATCTACGGACTGCTACTCTATGGCTGTAGTTGCGGAGTACCGGCAGTAGGTAGACGAGCCCCTTTCTCTCATTCTGATTCACTTCGCCTACGGTAGACGGCATTTGAGGCCTTGGCAAAGTAAACTTCACGGCATTGGCCCGTATAGCCCGTATTCTAAAAAGCGACCAATTTAGGGCCCGACTACCGGAATTAATGCCCTTGTTGTGTCCCTGATAAATCTAACAGGTCTGCAACTGTCGCGGAGGGTCCTCTGTCCTCTACCGAGACAAAACGTGCGTCCCGCCGGGCCCAAACTCTTGTCAGATATTCAGGCGAGCCGATAAATCATCAGGATTCTGATGGCCTCGACAACTGAGCAGCATTTGGAACTGGCGGCAGCCAAGGTATCCGCTCGAGTAAGCCTTGGGGATTGAGTTTTCAGGAGAAGATTCGATTCAATTCATTAGTTCGATCTAGACACCTTCTTCTGAACTAGGTACCTAGGTATCTTTGACTGAAGCAAAAGCCGAATTGCACGGTCCCGTCCTCATCAGATACGACCTTGCCAATCAAACTTCATCATTCACACTCTGTATTCGTATTAAACAAGCCTATCGGCTACCAGCTGTCCTTTCTTCCAATACTTCTTCTTCTACGGAGTAACGAGCCCGTATAACTGCACAACAAGGCCCCATATGTTCATCATGTATACTTTGGTTTCGTGTTAGCTGGAGCCGCACAAGAGCGACGAGCGCTTCCCTAGATGGCCTGGTGAATCTGAAATTCGATAGGCCTGTCTGCCCAGCATCGGTTCAGCTTTATCGACTGTTTATCAATCTTCGGATCCTTGACCCCTCATCTCCTCAGCAGTTTGGATCTTCCCGTCCAACGTGAACATTGGGCTTATTACAGTTGATCACTAAAGGAGCTTTCGAGGCCTTCCGGTATGGGCAGTCATTTCAAGCCAATAGCAATGCCAATCCTAGCTCACACTGCTTGGTAGCTCTCAGACCTCGAATTAGCAAGGTCAACGATTCTATTAGTCCTAATGGCCATACCTACTTTTTCAGATCGCTCTATCTTAGTACCCATTGTGATTCAAGTATCAATTCTAACTTTGACGTCTACCTTCTTACTTTAGCTTACCGTGCATTTTCTACCTTGGACAAGACAAGTTTGCTTGGTAGCAGAATTCCCGAGGTCAGATATCATAAAATTATATCGTGGGGAAATAGTAGTTATGTGGGAACTCAATTGTACAACTCCAACGAAGACCTACCCTAAACTGGACCAAATGACTTTGACCAGCCTTTAAGCAAGGTAGCTAAAATATTGGTAACTTGTGTGTAATTTTCGTTTTGTTGAGTAATCCTTTTCGCGTAGGCGTGGCTCTATTTGCGCGAGGAGGGAGAGATGGATATTACTTAGCGATTGGCTTGTGTGTTAACCTGACGTTGACAAAGCTTGACTAACATGTCAAGAACTAAAGTATGTTTTGGTCAGCTTCAAAATCAAGCCTCAAAAGCATTTCACCATTTTCGGAAAGGCTGATCAGGTAATAAAGTAGTCATCCACACCATTCCTTCCAGAGCTGAAAGTGAAGTACATAGCGGAAGATCACACATGAAAGCTTATAAGTGACCCCCCCCCCCCCCCCCCCCCGTCCACTCACGATGTGCAACTGACTTTGAGAGAGAACTCTTTGGAAACACAGCCCAGAGAACTCAGGATCTAGTTTTACCATTCGCCGGAGATTCCGGAGTAGCACTAAGTTGTCCACCTGGGCCACCGACACAATCCATTACATCATTCTTGAGCTACCAATTTGGGGTAACTAGACTAAACTCCTGTTCTTGGAGCTTCTTCTACCTCAAGTTTCAAGACTGCAAGATAGCGACTTTGAAAATGGAGGGTCGACGCTCTTCAACACTTCCGGGAGGTTCCCGTCGGGGTCAAACCGGGGGATATCTCCCAATTGAGGACTATGGAATGATTGGAAATATGCACACCTGTGCTCTCGTGGGAATTGATGGAAGCATTGACTATATGTGTTGGTGAGTGCAGGCCGGTGAGATGAGACTCGGAGCTCTCGACTGATAGTCTGAATTGTAGGCCCGATTTTGACTCTCCGTCTGTTTTCTGCCGGCTTCTCGACAAGGACAAAGGAGGGCACTTCTTTATTTCCCCGCCTCCCGATGTAAACTGTACTACCAAACAGCAGTATCTTCCATCATCATGTATTCTACAAACAAGGTCCATTCATGAGGATGGTGTCGTCGATGTGGTTGACTTTTTCCCTCGCCCACAGAATATCAAGGTTACCACCAAAGGTGTGAAGCTAAATGCTTACCGGGAAGTCACCAAAGTCCAAGATGAGCTTAAGAAGTGGTTGGTCCGCCGAGTAGAATGCATTCGTGGTTCAATGAATCTTGGTACTGCTATCTCAATACATAACTAGAGACAATGACTGACGGTGCTCAGATATCGAACTCTTTCCTTCCTTCAACTACGGAAGAGATGAGCACGAGACCACTCTATTCCAAGAACAACACTTCACGACTGATAATAAGAGCAAAGTTGCCTCGTTCCATAGCAAGGATACTCAGCTGCAGCTCGACGTTGCAATTGAGAAGGGAGAAAACGAGACCAGTTGTCCTCTCATAACATTTAGAAAGGAGAAGCGCCCTGGGATCAACGGCGAGGGCCTCGTGGCTTGCATCCGTATTGAGGAAGGCCAGACGATTTCTTTTGTCCTTCGAAATGATATTGAACACCATGTCACAGAGAATGTTACGACTGATGTGCTTGATGCCCAGCAGCACTCTACGCAGAGTTTCTGGTATAATTTCATTGCGCAATCGAATTATAAAGGTCGATGGAGAGAGGTTGTGTCTCGAAGTTTGATGATACTCAAGATGATGACTTACGGTGAGTTTCTCCCTTAGATCTAGTTTGTGAGAAATCGACTAATTTTCCATAGAGCCTACTGGTGCCATCATAGCTGCCCCAACCTTTTCTATTCCTGAAGCCATCGGTGGCGTAAGAAACTGGGACTATCGCTTCTCTTGGATTCGTGATTCGAGCTTTACTATCTACATCCTGCTACGTCTTGGTTTCAAGGCCGAAGCAGACGCTTATATGGAGTTCATCATGGAAAGATTCGTTCACTCGCGTGGCCCAGATGGAGGCTTGCCTATTATGTTCACCATTCGAGGTGAGACTGACATCCCGGAACTGACATTGGATCATCTTGAAGGCTATCGCGGCAGTAGCCCTGTTCGTATCGGTAACGGCGCGGCCTTTCATCAGCAGTTTGATATCTATGGCGAGCTGATGGATGCTATCTACTTGTATAATAAATATGGAAAGCCAGTTCCATGGGATGTTTGGAAGGCTGTCCGTGAGATTCTTGGTACGTTGCACAACCTTGAAAATCCCCTTGGCAAGCTAATATGTGTTCAGATTACGTTTTGACTATACTAGACGGTAAGACATATAGCATTTGGCTTCGAGTTTTGGCTAAACGCTATAGATCCCGACATGTCTATCTGGGAGGTCCGAAATAACAAGCAGCATTTCACCTACTCTCAGATAATGCTCTGGGTCGCATTTGATCGTGGCCTTCGTCTTGCTGATAAGAGATGCTTTCCATGCCCCAATCGCGCCAAATGGATGGAGGCAAGAGACAGGATTTATGAGCGTGTCATGGAACAAGGTAATATAAGCAAGACTTCCCCTGATGAATGGCGTTGACTGTTTACAGGATACAACGAGGAGATGAAGTGCTTTGTGCAAAGCTTTGAGAGCAGAACCATGCTCGACTCCTCCATTCTCATAGCTCCTCTTGTGTTCTTCATCTCACCCTGTGATCCACGTTTTCTCAACACCCTTGACCGTATCCTCTTACCCCCAGAAAAGGGCGGTTTGACAAGTACCGGCTTAGTGTACCGATATGACACTGAGCTATCCAACGATGGTAAGGGAACCCGGCAATAACTTCATCGAGGCTTAGTTGCTAACGTGAGAAAATCGCGATGTAGGGGTAGGCGGTCATGAAGGTGCGTTTAGTATGTGTACTTTCTGGCTCGTGGAAGCCATGACCCGAGCAGCTGTCTACGAGCCGAAGTATCTCGTCAGGGCTGTGAATCTGTTTGAGAATATGCTCGGGTTCTCTAATCACCTCTGCATGTTCTCTGAGGAGATCGCAAGATCTGGGGAACAACTTGGCAACACACCCCAAGCATTCAGTCATCTAGCCTTAATCAGTGCGGCTTTCAACCTGGACCGTACTGCGAGGTAAAATACAAGGGTGCTTCAGAAGGCAGACCGCAGCCGAAAAGTGGCCAAGTTTAGCAGAGTTATTTGTCTACTCAATCGTGTGCCCTTGGGAGAATGCATGAAATTGTTTTGATAATTAGTTTACTGTTACAGATGCGAGCTCATGTCCCGTAAAACGGGATTGAATCACCCACAAAGCTCTACAGATACAGAATCTCCAACCTCAATTGTTGGGTATTGTAACTCTTTTTTCATAACGTCTCCTTCAGCTAAAGGATCATGCCGCATATGTACCCCAAAGTAAACTTTGCCATCGAAGCGCCTTGTCTTTGCGAGCGTCACGAATGGCTCTTCCTTCTTTTCGCCAGTTTCTTGGTCTATACATACCATCTGACATCTGCGGCATGCACCCAGAAGCCTGAAGTTCTGGCGACCAATGCTCATATAGCCCCAACGATCCTCAGAAAAGGCTGGCTGTGCTTTAAAACCAGGAGCTTGTTCGAGTGTTATATTGGCCCTAAATGATTTCTCTTCAACCGAGCTTCCACCACGGTCAACGATTTGCTGGTTCAGAGCATCAACACTGGAACTATGGATTACCAAGATAGGACTCTCGTTAGAGAGAAGAATCTTGGTAGGTTTCTGCTGTTCAGAGTCCGAATCAGGAGGTGATGGCACATCTGGGAAGGTGCCTGGTAATGCGTGGATTCTCGAAGGCTGTTGATATCTTTGAATCTGAGCCTTGGATAAACGGCTTTTCAACCCCGAGCCACCAGGGGGAAAGCGCGCTAAGAAACAAGGAACCCCAAGAGCATTCGAGAAAAAAGAGTTGATCCTGTCCGATGTATATATCTGAGTGCTCACCTTCTCGCCACAAACTCTAGAAGATTGTCTGTCAATACTGGAGTCAATGACAGAAGGGTCTGCTGATAAAGGGATGGATATTTGGCTTGGTTGGCCGCTATGCTGTGTCCCACGATATGTGACGATCAGCTCGCCGTTGATAAAATCTAAAGTTGGTCTTAACAAAGCCATCTTAGGGCAGCGTTTCTGACTCAAAGCATGTCCAGAACCATGATGGACTAAGCACCATTCACGATCCCATGCTAGACCTTCTGGCCGGACCTCCCAAGGAACCCCAGATGGGATCGAGTACCCGGCGCAGCTTTTTATAGGATAGATAGTAATAGATTTAACATTGAGTGTGGAAGAGTTAGGGATGTCGATGGTTTTCTGGAGGCCTAGATCAGAAGAAACAATTGATACCGATCTTTCTTGGTAGAACTCCTTGAGAAAAGCAACAAATCCATCGACATCTGCTTTCGTGCTCATTGCACCGAGGCTAGCTCGAATGACACCGGTGGGCTTTCCAGACATGATATCATTGTCTGCACCGCAACGAAGCCCGGCTGAGAAATTCTTCTTCATCTCCCAAGGTTGCAAGTCTAGGGCTGAAGCAATGCCGCCTGGGCTGCAAAGCCCTCCGGTCCGAATGTGGATGTTTTTGAGATTCGCAAGTTTCTCAAACTCGGCAAGGCTTATCCAAGCGCCCTGGCTGTTCCTCAGGTTGAAAGAAACGACAGGCCCGTTTCCAAGAGTGTTTTTGTCGCTAAGTGCAGATGTATAAAGTTTGCAAACCGGGGCGCCGTTTGCATGGCGCATATTGCTCAATTCTTGGAACATACGTTGGGTGAGGTATGAAGTATGGGAGCTGATTTGATCCATGGAACCAAATAGTCGTCGATGTATATCCATGGCAATGTCGAGAGCCACTATGTTATGAAACGGAAGTGTCCCGTCTTCTAACCTCTCGTGGAGGAACTGTGATTTGGGGGCATGCCACTTCTCCTTTCCAGAGACAACCATATCTACCGTGCCTCCACCAAAATACTTGCGATTGTTAAACACCCATTCGGAAGAACGCTTCACTAGCAAAGCTCCGAGATCGGGGAATCCAAAAATCTTATACAAGCTGAAGACGGTAAAGTCTGGTGCTAAGTTTGGATCGCTAAAATCGAGATAAGATGTAGCAGCAAACGAGGAGGCGTCCAGTAATGTGAGGAATCGATGCTCGGGTTTGCCATACAAGTCCCGTAAGTTTTTTGCCCAAGTCAAGGGATATCTTTTGCCATCCATATGGGATTGCGCAGGATAGGCAAACAGTGTTGTTGCTGACGAGTTATCGCTCATGTTTTGGAACGGGAACTGTCCTTCGAACCATAATTGAACATCATCATCGTCAACCGGTGTGCTACAAACAGCCTCCTCTCGAGCACCAACCAAGCTGGTATGACATCCTTGGTGATATGCATATAGGAAACCTTCTGGTCGATTCCTTATAGCTTCAACAACGAGTTTGACTCCCGCTGTGGCATTTGCAACAAACACCACATCATACTCAGTTGGGTCCGCTCCAAAGAAGGTGAGCAAATTCATACGAGCATCTTCAACGCGAGATGCTGATTGCTGCGAGGATGGTGATGCAGAGTGGGGATTACCATATAGAACTGTAGTCATCTCATGCGCGAACGAGTCCATCAATGACTTGGAGCATAATGTTGTCCCGGCGTGATCAAGGTATATCGAATCTTTTTGCAGGTCAGTACAGTCCAGAAGCATATCTAGGTATTATGACCTTGAATCATTGGATATTCAGCTTCTCTAAATTGCTCCACGGCTCGATTATAGCTTGAGTCGCCACCCAGAATAGGCACCGTCATTTTGACAACTTATGTGCAAGATGAATCGAGTGAAGGGAAATCAAAGTTCCCAATGTTTCAGGGGTCCTTTGACACAAAAAGACCAAGCACTTCCGGTGGATATTGAGAGCTTGTTATACGCCGCACAACCCTTATCATATTCTGATGAGGAGTTCTATGGCACTACCACGAGCGATAGAGAGTGGGAGTGGGGTGAAGAGTGGAGGAGAAGACATGCTCGAACCAAGCCAAGGAGGGAAGTTGGTTCTGATACCAGGGTTTAAAGTTGCTCCAGTTTGGCTGAACAAGCCGTTGAACAAAGGAGGAGATAGGAACGACGTGGGTGGCTATGACAATATCTGAACAAATAGACATCTTATCTTGGTCAGCTGCTTTGTTATTTGCCGCCCTTTAGCGATTAAAGCACTGAGCATATCGGGATACTCCCCCAGATTTCAGTGCTAGTTGCAAGCGGAGATCGCCACTTTCCTGTTTCCAGGCACTGTATCAACATTCGCTGCTTGCCGACCGGCCAGTTCTCGTTGATTATTGGTCAATTTATTGCGGAGGAAAGGCAGGTACCTCGTTAGCCCAACTCATTGCTTCAGACCGTTTAATAATTACGGCATCAATCGTCGAAAAATACATACATTGACAATAAATCACGGTAGAGCGGACGAGATATAGTGCTTAGAAATCTAAGGAAACGTTCTCGAAGTAGAGAAATAGCATGGAATAATGTGATTCGGTAAGGTAGCTGGATGAGGTATGTATCGCGCTTTTCCTAGAGCAGCCTCATAGCGGAGGCCCCGGGATCCTAGCCCGTGCTCCACCATTTCGCTTACCAGCTGAACAGCAATTCCGACTGGCCCCCAGCCTCCAACCAACTCAGCCTCTTCAACCTCACTTCACTCATCACATCGAATCGCATTGAATTGTTATCGCTGTGAAGTGAGGGCGCGCATATCTCGACTCAAGCGCTATCACTACATTGAATTCTTCTTTAAGACTGCGCTCGTCAATTAGTTTGTCTCCCCATATTCTTTGACCTCCTGCTCTTTTCCCCTTATCCCTCTTGCAGCTCTTCCAACTCGTCGATCCAGCCGCATCCGCAGCCTCGCGTTCTCCCTTCCTCCTCACTCTTTGACGCGGCATACCCGTCTGCGATTCTTAAATCATTCTTCTTAATTCTTCTCACACTCGTTCTTCGCCCAGGGCGCGTTGTCCCCCAACTTTCTTCTTCATGGCGCCTCTTTGGCGACCTTCTTTTTGTTCCCTCCACTATCATTTGTCCATACGTTGCTAAAGATAAGCTCTCTAACGTCGATCATGTTATCAAATAATAGATCATTCCTTTGCATTCCTCGCTAAGTGCTCAACATCGAGCCGCGAACACTCACGCAGAAATATCGCTTTCTTTCATGCCGCGTCGCGTCGCTGGCAACGATACAAACGATGGACTCGTACACATCTTTTCGCGACGCTTCAGCTCGTTCTCCGGTTGATCGTAGTTGGAGCCGAGATGACTCGCGAACCCGAGATGAGCGCCCTGACCGCGGGGACTCATTTTACCGTGGAAGATCTCCAGGTTTGTTCTCCAGAGGCGGTTTTTCTTCCTGCCACCGAGTAGCAGCAGGCTTCGGCACCGTAAAAACAGACAAAGCTTACAAGTCTCAAGGCCACGACCGCCGCGATCGCCGTCGGTCTCGCTCTCCAGCCACCGTCGACCGCTACGAACCCAGGCCCCGACGAGACGATCGAGATCGTGATGACAGACGTCGCATGCAGTCACCACCTGCCAATATTGATCGATACGTACCTGGTCAGGATTCCGGGTCAACTAATCCAACTGTGAACCCCATCCCCGACCCTGCCAAGCTCCATTATCAGGTTGGCTTCTCCTACTTTGGAGAATGGTGGAGAATGAACGAGAAGATCAAGGAGGAGAGAGAGCGAATGCGTACTGGTCGACGCCGTGAACCGGAACGGGCTCGCGGCCCAGAAGATCGCGAAAAGGAAAAGGCCAGGATCCAAGCCGCATATGATGCTTATAAAGAAGAACTTCAAGCCAAGATGGCGCGGACATTTGTTTCTGAGCACAAGAAAGAGCAATGGTTCAAGGAGCGATATGTTCCGGAAATTCGCGATGACTTCAGAGGAAAGCTAAACGAATACCGACGCGGTGCTTACAGCCAGTGGGAGCAAGATCTTGAATCGGGTACTTTTGATGACTTTTCTCTTGAGGGCCTGCCCAAGAGTGAGAGTAACGGCAGTGGCGGTGTAGTTGAAAAGGAAGAGGGAGAGGCTACAGCCACAAATGAGATCCTGGGTGTTGGAGATCTGGTTCCAGTCAATGGTGCTGACATCCGCGACGAGAGCCAGTTCCAGCCAACTCTCTTGATCAAGACCATCGCCCCGCATGTTAGCCGCCTTAACCTGGAGGCCTTTTGTAAGGAACATCTCGGCGAGGAGGAAGGTGGCTTCAAGTGGCTTTCTTTATCTGACCCTAACCCAAGTAAGCGGTATCACCGTATTGGTTGGGTCATGCTTCACCCCTCATCCGAAACATCACTCCCTGTAGACCGCGTTGAACCCAAGGATGAAGATGGCGATGAGGCGATAACATCTCCTCAGCCGGTATCTACTGCTGACAAGGCTCTGGAGGCCATCAACGGTAAGACTGTCAAAGATGAGGTCAGAGGAGACTTTGTTTGCCACGTTGGAGTCCACAATCCACCTGTCCATCCCCGAAAGAAGGCCCTATGGGATCTCTTCTCCGCCCCTGAGCGCATCGACAAGGACCTCTTGCTTGTTCAGCGAATTGTCAACAAGTTTGAAGAAGAATTCGGATCCGATTTCCAAGCCACTCTGAAAATTGAAGAGAAGGTCGAAGACCTGAGAAACGCGGGTCAGCTTCAACCGGCTGTGGTTCCCACCCCTGTCAAGAAGGTCAAGAAAATCAGAGAAGTGGGAATGGACGAAGCTATGGACGAGGAGGAAGACGGCGTGATTGAAATTGAGGAAGAAGAGGAGGAGGAGGAGGGGGCCGTAGAGGATGAAGAAGTTGATGACGAGGATCTTTTGGTCAAGAAGAAGCAACTTGATCTTCTGATTGAATATTTACGCCGCGTCTTCAACTTCTGCTTCTTTTGTGTTTTCGAAAGTGATTCGGTTCACGAACTCACACGAAAATGCCCTGGCGGCCATTTGCGCAGACCTCGCAGCACGCTTTCGTCTGCTGCGAAAGCTGTTGCTAGAGCCAGCGCCAATGGAGAGCCATTCCCAGGCAAGAGGAGGGGCGAGGGAGTAGAAGAGAACGAGGGTGAGCTTACTGAAGGTGAAAAGAAGTTTCGAAACGCCTCAAACAAGACGGAGCAGCAACTGCTTCGAGCGTTTAACTGGGTTAAAACTTTCGAAGATAAGCTGACCCAGATTCTGGACCCTCAATCTGTCGATATTCGAAAGTTGGGTGGCCGATCTGCTGATGAGGCTGTCGATGAAGAGCTTCTTAAACATGTGAAACAAGAGGATGAACACAAATGGCGGTGCAAAGCTCCCGAGTGCTCCAAGCTGTTCAAGGAAGAGCATTTTTGGCGCAAGCACGTTGAGAAGCGCCATGGTGATTGGCTTGATAACCTGAGGCAAGAGGTGATTTCTCGCCCCATCACAATTCATCGTGCTGTACTAACCAAGATTCTTAGTTTGAACTTATAAACTCATATGTGATGGACCCCTCCCACATTGCACCCTCAAGAACCGATGCAAACTCAAATGGTCACTTCCCGCCTTCCAATGGCCAATCCAACAGTGGAACGCCACGAGGCTTCAACCTGCAGAACTTTACCATGAACGGTATGATGGGAGGAGGCATGCCTGGCTTCCCCATGGCTCCAGGCAACTTCTCGCCCATGTTTGCAAACATGCAATCTGGAAGTTGGAACCCTATGGACGAACGCTCTGGTGGGGGACCTATCCGTCGTGGGGGAATGGGTGGCGGACGAGGCCAATACCGTTCTGGACCCTATGATCGCCGAGGCGGCAACCGTTTTGACGGTGGTCGTAACCGCAACGGCGGGTCACGATGGGGTGACGGCGCTGGAGGTGCTGCAGGCGGGCCTCGGGAGGCAGTCCAGGGCCGAAGCCTCAAGAGTTACGAGGATTTGGACCAGGTTTCGGGTGGTGGAAGTGGTGAGCTCAATTACTAAACTGCTCATTATGGTTTCCTTCCAGAGCAAGGCGATTTGGACGCCTCGGAGTTTGCTGCGTTTCTTAATATGAATCACTAGGTACCTGGATCATGGGAAGGTCGCTGCTTTTAGACTCTATGTATCATATGCCTACACAAGCTAGTCTCATGCTGGGTTTTCAAGGACAATTAGTCCTGGAAATGACGGTTATCTACAGAATGCTTCTTATATCCAATTGTTGCCCCCTATCATCCTGCTCAAAGGTTCCAAGAAACGGAGAAAATTCTTAAAAGGCGGTTGCAATTATGCACATAATCCTGTGGGCCTTGATGGTAGGTACCTTGATGCACGTTAGAACGGAGCAAACGAAGGCTTCATACATGAATAAATCAGCTTAGTTGCTATACTATGGAACCGTGGTAACTTGTGAAGAGGGTTTCAACTTTGATCCAGCCCTAGGACTTGAGAATGTCTGAGTGGAAGAACCTATAAGCTCATGCTGCAATATCAGGACTATCCTGGGTACTACTATCTTTACAGGTCCCAATCAAAATCTTTAAGATTCTCCCTCCGGTGAGATCTCGGTGAGCCTCGGTGAAGATAAGCTAGCGCCGAGGGAGGGGCGCTCATGTCCTTTATCTGGCCAATGATATCCTGCGATAAGATATTTTTTAGGCCACACATCCCCACCGCCCACCTTTTTTTTTCTCTAGGCTTGCCCAACTCTGCCATCGCGAACGTATCGAGCGATCGCATTTTTCAAGACTTCAAGATCGCAAAAATGGGACTCCTCGCAGAAAACAAGACGTAAGAGGCACATGTTATCAGGCCGTGTCCTTCTGCAGCATGCGCTAACCAACTACAGTCGACGGAAGATCAACAAGGATCCAAACAACACAAAATGGACTAAAGATACGAATACCTTCGGCCAGAAGATCTTGCGAGCTCAAGGCTGGCAACCGGGCCAGTTCCTCGGAGCACAAGATGCGCCGCATTCGGAATTGCACACGGCCGCCAATGCCTCATACATTCGCGTGGTTCTTAAGGATGACATGAAGGGATTGGGCTTCAGCAAGTCGAAAGAGGATGAGGTTACTGGTCTAGATGTCTTTCAGGATCTGCTCAGTCGACTCAACGGAAAGACGGATGATGCTATTGAGGAGGATCAGCAAGCACGACTCGCTGTGAAGACGCACCATTTTGTTGAGCAACGATACGGAGCCATGAAGTTTGTCTACGGTGGTCTACTGGTCGGCGATGAGATGAAGGGAGTAGAAGAGACGAAGGCCGACCAGGAAACAGAGTCGAACTCCGACGAGGACATTGTCATGGGATCTGCCCCTGTAATAAAAGAATCCAAAAAGGAGAAGAAGTCTAAGAAGAGAAAGGCAACCGACGATGAGGAAGAGGAGACAACTTCAAGTCGAGAAACCGATTCAAAGAGCAAGAAAAGACGCAAGGAAGAGCGAAAAGTAAAGGAGGGCGACATTGATGACGCCAAGGCCAAGAAGAAGAAAGAGAAAAAAGACAAGAAAGAGAAGTCCCGCAAAAAGTCCACAGAGGACATTTCAGATGACGAGAATGTCGAAGAGCGCTCAAGGAAGCGCAAGTCCAAGTCCAAGGACAAGAGCCGGTCCCCCGAGGGCTCAGACGAAGAAAAAGTGAAGGAGAAGAAGTCTAAAAAAGATAAAAAAGATAAGAAGAAGCGCAAGAAGGAAGAGCAAGCATCCGAACCAACCAGCACATCAGTCACACAGAACTCTACACCAACAGCTTCGGTCCCTGGAACAGGAGCCACAACACCATCTGGCACATCGACGCCTAGAGGGAGCAGGAATTTTGTGCGGTCACGATTTATTGCGCAAAAGAGACAGGCTGTGCTTGACACCAAGGCACTGAACCAGGTATGTACTCGTCCTTTCGCAACTACATGGCTAGGTTACTAATCTTATACAGATTTTCATGGTCAAAGCATAGAACATGAAGATGTAAACATGTTGCTTGGATACGCACTTATGAGCACCTAGACTAGATGGTAGCGGATATATTTATCATGCCTGTCGGATATACGGATGTATATTGCGTTGTTGCGGAGGCGTCAGGTCGCATGGTAATGTTAGAACAATCTTTTATTGCATTATAAAGTAGCTGAACCAGCATCTTACGGTAAAGGTATCTTATTCAGCAGGGATGCTTTCGATTTGGTCAATGATATGAGTTCTCACAATATATAGAGCTTTCTATCTTATACTTGCAATCACGAAAAATTCTTCAGATAGTAGGAATTCAAAACGTTGGATAACATCATTCCATTTTGTTAAGCTATTCCTAAGTCTGAACTGGCTTCGCATCTTCATAGCTTAATCATTAATCGCAAACAAAACAATACTCGTGGGCCTAAACACCCTGCAATTCGCCAATCATGATACTAATATTACAGTGCCAGTGCTTTCAAGTTGTCGTCTTCTCGTTTAGTTTATTTAGCAGCGTTCTTGCCGAAGTTGCTGTGACAGTTGTCAATATCAAAGACGTGTGTTGAGGTGATGATAGTGACGTACTTGTGGAAGAACTGGCTGAACAAGCCACCCTTTGCTTGTTGGTCTGACATACTCGCACGACGGGCGGCGTTGGCATCGCCGGCTCGCTTCTGTTCGTTGAGGCTGGCGAAGGCTGGCATGAAGCCTGAGCTCTGGTGATTGTTGTGTTAGTAAGTTGATATTAACAAATGAGGTGTAAGCTGGAACTCACTCGGCGACGGCCGCTGACGTTGCCAGTAGGAGCAGTCTGAGGAGCACCGGAGTCCATGGTATCGGGTAGTTGGAGTGATTGAGGTGAGTACTGGGTTGTTGATTGGTGGATTGATGGATTTGGATATATATCCTTCGTTATTATGGTCTGACAGTAGTGGTTGGGGTGTAGTGTAGGTAGTTTGACAGAGAAGAAGATTGGGCTAAATGGAGGGGAGCAGATGGGTTTATATCTTGTGAGAGGAGGAGATCAGGCCAGTTCACGCCGATCCATGGACCTTTCCTCTCTTGTTGCAGCAAAAGGGAAGAGCGAGTGCTACTCTGTCTGAGCTAGGGATGCCTCGACCAAGCCAGGGCTTGATCTCGCGTGCCACGGGAGGGAAGTCAATCACCCATCACCACTGTAGAGCAGCAAGCGAACTGGCCAATAGATGCGTCGATGCATAAGCTTTTGCCGGACATCCCATTCAAACGTGCCAACCATCCTTTTTGGAGCATAGCCAACCAGGCCATGACCAAGGTGGCGTCCCTATCGCCTCTGTTTTGCTGTCTGTGACAGTTCCCATGGGGAGCCATTATGGCCAACCAGCACGTCGCGATCGTCAGATACTGGAAAAACTGTCTTACGAATCTGATGGAAAATTGCGAGGGGGACGAAACCGTGAAACGATGGGCATATCGCTTATGAACAGTGAGCATCATGACTCTTCGATCCCTTAACTAAGACCGCCGATCCCTCCTACAATCCAAACGCGGAGAACCTGGGAGGTCTTGTCAATACCTCAAAGCAGAGCTGAGAGAGGTCACACCACCCATCAACTTGGCAGGGGAATCACAGCCGCCAGTAACTTTACGCGGGGAAGGACGCCACAGGCGTTTACTGTCCCCAGGCCGCAACCGACGTAACTATCATGCATATACCAATGCTTGCTTGCAGGCAGCGTTGCATTTTACAAAGTTCATGAGGATCAATTGCCCACTCTGAGCTGCTCGTTTGCTTCCTCAAGACGCGGGGCAATATGATGCTCTGGGAAGTACACAATCACAAGGTGCGGGCACATTCCCGATAGCCGTGATGAATAACAGACGTCAAAGTCGTCTCTAGATCTCAATGACGAGGTTTGAAGTGGATGCACCTGTTCTAGCCTGCAGACACGCGGGGCGGGGCTCAAGGGTCGTGGGGCCGATCTGTTCGGAGCCGTGGGGCCCAGGAGCCATCGAGAGACAAAGCTGACAAGGAAGATGCCGAAAGCGGGGGAACGCAGTACATAGCTGGACTTGCTACTTGCAGTCGTGGGTTATCATTCCTCGCCATCGATCATATGAACAAGAATCGAGCTCACAGACACTACTACCATCAGACACTTGGGACAATATCAACTGCCGAGAAACCTCAAAACAAGGGTCCAGCTGTCGTGTGCGTAATCACCGTCAACGATGTGAACTGCTTCATTACTTGTGGGGCACTATCTCTGAGACAAGCTTCACTGACGACACGACTCCTTCTTAAGCCTCGATTCCCGTCTCTAGTCAGGGTCTATCCTCATCAGCCATCATCTCTCGTCAGGGGACCCCTAATTTCAGATCCAGACGTACATATGTATCCTTGAACGGGGTTTCCCAATTTGTTTCTTATTTCGTCTAGTCATGAATCTACCAGCTGCACCGGGTCCTCTAGATGCCGCTCTCTAACACACCCAACACGCATCATACGTATCTTTCCTTTGTGCTTGTTTTTACCTAGTTCAGATCCATAGAAAACTTTTTACTCCTTCTCTAATCTCACCGCAGGGTTCCGCTCAATAAAGTTGAGATCGACCTTGTGGCCCAGCAGCTCTCGGATGTTAGAGATCTTGTACTTGATCATGGTCGGTCGCTCCAGGGACAGACCCCAGCCAAACACCCGCATGTCCTTTGGCAGACCCATGGGTTCCAGCATTTCAGGTCGGAACATGCCACTGTTTCCGATCTCCACCAGCTTGCCCAGACCCTCGTGATAACTGAAGATTTCCATACTGGGCTCGGTGTAAGGGTTGTAGGCCGGCTTGAACTTGAGGTTGGTGATGCCCATCTTGGCAAAGAAGACTTCCATGAACTCCATCAAACCACCAAGGGTAAGACCGTAGTCGGCGATAACACCCTCAACCTGATGGAATTCGGCCAAGTGGGTTGCGTCAACTGTCTCATTTCGAAAGACACGATCAATAGAGAAGTATCGCGCTGGAGGTGGGCGTCCATCAGGTCCCTTTTGCGCTGCTAGCTTGTAAAGCATAGCCGTTGAAATGGCAGTAGTGTGGGTCCGGAGCACCAGTCTCTTGGTCTCCTCGGCTGACCAAGGGTATCTGTAACCGATTGACCCAAACTTGCCATTCTGATGGACCTGCTTGATGTTCTCCCAATACTCCTCTGTGTTCTGTCCTTCCTCTGATCGTGGCGCGTCTCCCACCTTGGGGTCTGAGATGTAGAAGGTATCTTGAAGATCACGGGCTGGGTGCTGCTGGGGCACGAAGAGGGCATCGAAGTTCCAGAATCCAGTCTCGACAAACTTGTTGGTAGGCATCTCTTCGAAACCCATCTCGAAGAAAATCTGTCGGAATTCGTGTCGGACCTTGTTCAGGGGGTGAAGTGCGCCAGCATTCTGATCCGCGCCGAGAGCCTTGAAGTTATAGGGCTTGAAATTGGCAGTCTTCCATGATCCAGAAGCAATCATATCGGCTGTCAAGTCGGTCTCCTCCTTCTGAATTTCGAGGGCGAACTTGGGCCCCTTTTCAATCTTGAAGCTGATGACCTTTTGCATCTTGATGAGTTTTCGTTTTCGCAGATCGGTCAAGGTTTTGGGCTCGTGTGTCCGTGTCTCCTTGATCTTCTGTAGCTGCGCTCGGGTGACGTCTTCGATGGACTCAGCCTGTTACTCGAGGTTAGCTAACAGTTGAACCCAAATTCATATATGAACTTATAAGCTTGACATACAGTGGCTACCAGCTTGCCGTCGGCGCTCTTCTTAATCCATTTTTCTTTGAAAGCCTTGCCCTGTCCGACCTTGGTCACCGTCTTGTCGCCAATGGCCTTCTCAAGGTCCTGGATCGATAACCCCTCCACGGCGTTTCGAAGCGCCTCAAAAACACGCGCCTCATGACTACCATGCTCGGCAATTTGCTCCGCTTCGGGCTCAAGGATAGCCTCTTCCTTGTCAATTGTCTCGTATGTGATCATAGATCGTGAAGCCAGACGATCAAGCGCAGCCTTGATGTCCTGGAAGGCGATGGCGGGGAAAGCCTCTGAGGAGAGCAAGGGGCTTTTTTCCGACAGGGCCTGAAGGATCTGGGAAGTGAGATCCCCCGAAGGAGCGGAACTTGAAGTCGTCATGTCGGAGGATTTGGAGTTGTGAGGAGCCAAGAGAAAATGACAAGCTGGCTCTTCTTGACCTGTCGTTGTTCGTCTGAGTCACGGAGGGCAGAAATTATTTGGGCCGTTTCGCCCACCATAGCGGTCCGATGGCGGGGTACTACGATAGGTACTTGTGGGAAGGCATCTGTCCCGCCATAGTCGGGCCATACTTTTTTCCGGCCCGAGTACCAGAAGGAGGACCTACCTATTTCACAGACTGTGTCTACCGATGCACCTAAGCCCTGGGGGCTGTTACATGTAATCCCTGCAATCTTATCATGGCGCTTCAAGTCGCCTCATGTTGCAACAAGTCACTTCAATTCACGAGCCTGTTGTAGCCGATATCATACATTCCCATAGCGCCAGTCGAAACTGCATTGCTATACACACCTTGAATCTATTAGACAACTCTCTGCTGCGGCCATACACCTTTCACCACCACTTCATGAGCCACACGTGCTTCTCCTGAGCTGTCACCCTGCTCATGCAGAACTAGCTCCCCTTTAGATGCAGATGTAGATGACGATACTCGAGAATGAGCGATGATGCCTCGCCGAGCTCTACGGCGCCGAATGAAGCTTCCACGGCCGAACCAGTCAATGTTTCATCCGGCAGCCGTGTCACATGGAATCTACCACGCGAGCATTCGAGATCAGCTCGGTCGCGCGCCCAGTTGCACCCTCAGCGTCGCAAGAAGAAGAAAAGCAGGAAGAAGCGCAACCCTGGATTAGCAAGAAAGTTGGAATTTGTCACACATTTGCTCAGAAGTCTTGATACCCTGGTTTTCGCGGAGCTGAGTGGTCTGTACTATATGGAGTATGTTCGACTACTTGCGCATCTTTCCTGAACTTAGCTTACCAGTGATGCCCCTCTAGGTGCTCAATGTTTCGATTCATCCTAAGATCTGTTGGCCAGTACTTATATCTCACGCCGAAGGATGAATCATTTCCTTTCTTGATGCCTGCGAGTCCTATACACGTGTGTCTCGTTCTCATTCCCAACATCATCTGTATACTTCTGCATATTTTTGTTTCGCTGCCTGTCGGTCCTGACTACCACCGAGGCTATATGCACGGTGGCCTGGTCATCGACTTCATAGGGCAAAAGCCCCCTACTTCTCGCATTTACTATGTTATAGTAGATGTCATGATCCTCGCCGTTCAATGCCTAATGCTGACGGTCCATACTGAGCGGGAGAGACTACGGGTGACTCTTAAGACCTTTCGACCTATGGTACCTGACGTGGCTCAGGAGATGGGTCCTACCATAGAAGATCTGGATGCGGAAGAGCGAGGAGTATCAAGGGACATGCCCGGCTCATTACCAGCCGATGAGGAGGAAGGCATCGAGTTGCAACTCTTGCGACGCACCAGTACAACTGAGGAGGCGAACTCAACGTCGGGAGAATCAGAACCGTCGACTAGAGAGCCACCGATCGACGAACCAACACGGTCACATCTGTCTGATGTCCTGAGTTCCGGAAATGCGATAATCGGCGAATATCATGTCCTTCACTCACTTCACAATGCAGCGTTGAATATTGAGAGAACAGCCGCATATTCTCTCCGTACAATTAGCTATGGAGCAACTATGGCTTCCATTGAAGCGCGGAGACGAGGCCTCAATGTGCCAGCTCGAACAGTTCAGAACGATAGACAATGATATCAATTTAGCGCATTTGAATAATTTCCAAGGTCTAAAGTCGGAAAAACATAAATGTATTATTCTGTGCTTTTACGCTATCTTTCTTCCAACATTACCAACGCCAGTGCCTTTAACAGAAACAATGATATCATTCGTATCGTCCCCAACGTCCCTCAAACCCCAACTGCTTGCGCCAAATGTCTTCAGATCTCTCGCGAGGATAACCATCTCTTCGTTTGCGAGCACTTCCCTGCCGATTCTCAGACGACCAACATCCTCCGACCCCATAGCCATAAGCACAAGCATGGTCTTGGCTGAAACCTGGGTGGCACAGCCGCCTTGGGAGATGTTCTCCAGTAGCTGGAAAGCGCACTGCTTTCCAATGTCCTCAGGAACAATGCCGCCCTGGGGGGGGACGACTACGTCTGCAGAGTAGAGAATCCCAACAGCGCTTGACTCAGCGACCAGGCTCAAACCGAATCCTATTCCAAGCCGTCTCTTGCTTCCTGCCTTGTCACCAGTGGGTACAAGAGGTGCTTGGTCATACTGCGCAGCGATATGAATGTCGGAAACCAAAGGATTCAGGATCTCTCGTGCTGAGTGAATCATGCGGGCGTTATTGGAGGCAGATACTCCAGTACAGTATGCGACACCGCGAATGCGCTTTATCCGACCAGGGTTTCGGTTGAGATGCAGAGTCTTCGGTAGTCGCACTTGACTTGCGAATCGCAACTCCACACAGCCACCACCACCCTTTCCGCCGGGTCCAGCGCATGACCGTTGAAGTACCCTAAGCTCTATCCGCGCGGGAGGGATGCCAAACAGGGCAAAGAGAGGGAGGATGGCAGTTCGAAAAGAATCGACGGAGATATCTCCTGTCTCGGTGGACGATGTGATAACGCCAGGACCAGTGAATCGGACGTTCATGTGTGCCTTAGAAAAGGGTGCAAGTAAACAAAGAGGCATAAGGAAGTAGGTGACGCCGCGGGTATTGTTAACAGCGATGTTGTGCTCAATAACATCGCCGTCGGAAGCGCCAAAACCAGCGATAGTTCCGGTGATCAGGCCAGGATGATATGTTATGGTGGTACCGGTGTAAGAAATTTGCATGGAACTGCCATTGGTGACAGCCTCAAGCAGGCGCAAGAAGGAAATCTCATGGGGGGCAAGACCTGGATTCGTAGGCGATGTGCTTCGGATTTTGGAAATGTGGATAGGTCTGCCAGTCAGCGTCGAGAGAATTAGACGCTGGGTGAAGGATCGATGTCCTGTGAATCGGAGGAATTCTGGCGTGGAATTCGACATTTTGCTGCTGTTTTGGGGGTATCCTTGGAGTCGCAATATTTCAGCCCGCCGACGAGTGTTACCAAGCAAAAATTAATTTCTGCCACTCGAAAAACTTATCTATGCAGCCGAATGTAGAAGGCGGTGAGATTGACCTCCCCCAAACCACTTGTAAGTAGTAGATCCGTTCCTCAAATTCTTATCGATAACATTTGAAAAGGTTCAGCGTCAGTCTCGCCAAAGCTTCACCTTTACCCTGGGCCCTTATGTGTTGAGAATGGCGGGCCGACCGCTTTTACGCGAGCTAAGAAGCAGCAATGACACAATATGTCGATCTTGCCGGTTGGTAATTCGTCAAAGGCCGACACAACCACGAATAGCGGCATCATATAGCACCAAAGCCACTACACAGCGATCAATCGATGATGCCGTCACACAGAAGCCCAGCAGATTTGAGCTGCAGCAATACATCGACCGGATTAAATCTCTTCGAAATCCCAAGAAGGACGGAAACGAGTCATTTAGTGTGCGGTTCTTCGAGCAAGACAACAACAAGAGAATTGAACTTTCTGGAGAAGAAGCGTTCGGAGCATCACTGAACGAAGTCGATACATCAGGTCTCAAGGAAGCCCTTCTGGAAATCAAAGACGATATTGGCGGAAAGGACGAAAAAGAAGCTTTTCAGGATGTGGTCGATCAGCTGGGCCCCGAATGGCAGAACATGAAGACTGCAGATGACCTCGAGAGAATTATTGCCAAGCTGGACGCATATACAGCGACGATCGATAAGGAGATTGACAAAACTGGCGCAGACCTACCCAAAGAGCTGCTGGAGAGACTGGACTCAGAACTTCCAGGCTTGCCAGGATTTGGTAATCTGGGTTCTCGAATCACGTTACCTCAAATTCCAGAAAAGCCATGGACAATCAACCAACGCAAAAAGATCGCTCGCCTCAATACTGCATTATCGAAGACTGCCAGGGATCATCGCCGCGATGTCAAACTCACAGCAAAGACTGTGCAAGGGGTATTCAAGGCGTATCACTCAGCCAGACTGTCTCTAGCTCACGGCTGGAGTCATGTCCCCCTTGAAGTATGGGATCTGTTGTGGAAGATCTTCTCGGCCGATGAGTCTGTCAATATTCATCGCCTATCACATATTGCACTTCTCGCTCGAGACATGAGCGAGGCAAACGTGACTTTAAACCCTGCTCAGCAACTTCTGACAATTGAGGCGGTCTTTGTTGATGGATGGGAGTCCAAGGCAATCGAGAACTGGAGGAGATGTCTGAGCACCCTGGGGAACGAAAATGCCGAAACATTTCAAGAGTTCTGGGAACTTGGAGTGAGGATGTATTGCCGAACAGGTAATCTGGAAGAGGCACAGCGAGCCATCGACAAACTCGTCCAGAAGCAGTCCGACCCTCGCATTCTTATGCCTTTGATTAGGACATGGTCTGAGTTGGGCACGGAAGAGGCGCAGGGGAGGGCTTGGGTTGCATACCGTCAACTCCGCGAGCTTCTTGGAGACGGTATGAAGCTGGCTGACTATGATCAAGTCATATCATACTTCCTAACCACACATCAGACCGAGAATGCCTTATACGCCTTCGTTGACATGATGAGCGACGGCAAAATCGATTTGAAGAAGCAAAAATATATGCCATCAGTGGTCGCTAACAAATTCTTTTTTGGAAAGTGGCTGAAGAGGTTGATTGGTGCCGGCGATCTGAACGGAGCTCACAGCGTTGTGGACTTTATGCGTCAAAAAGGTATCGAGCCAGCTCCTATCCAGCTGAATGGTCTCATCGCAGCTTGGCAACGGGCCGGCGGTATTGAAGATCTTGAGAAGGCGGATCAAATGGCTTGGGGCATGATTGAGACTCGAATTCTGTTCGTCAAATCCCGAGGAAATGGCATCGATTTACAAAGCGAGCCTTTACAAAAGGACGACACTCTACCTCTACCACGAGCAACCTTGGAAACCTTCTCGCTATTGGCGGAGAACTACCGAGTGAGAGACTTGCACGATCGACTGCTGATGCTCTGGGAAGCTTTCGGAGAAGCGGATATGAAGGCTGACTCCTTCATCATCAATCAGCTCCTCGAGTCCTATATCCAAGCAGGACAATCGAATGAAGCTATGAACCTATACCTAACGCTCGTATCGGAAAAGGGCATCGAGCCTGACCCCTATACATTTAGTGCATTATGGAAGACGCTCGCCGTCAACCGCCTCCACGTTTCAGCTGGTTTTGTACCTGATCAGGCTGAGCCCACTCGTGCCATGTTTGCCGAGACTGTCAAGTTTCGACATGTTTTCCAACCCGATGGCATGGATGGTCAGCTCGCACGTAAGATCCTACATACTTTCCGTCGCATCAAGGATAATACAGGCTTTGTCGTCGCACTGTCGACTCTCCGCGATGCCTTCGGCTTCATACCTCCCGAAACGCTCGTTCTCGAGCTGATGTTGGAGACGACCAAGTTGCAATGGGATTCGCCGACCCATCGACGCCGTCTCATGACTGCCAAGCGAGATCTTGATCGTGGTCTTCTCTCATGGGCCGAGGGAGATGCTTCTCGTCTTGAGGGTCAGCGTCGTAGCGAAGCACTTTTTGAATATCTACAAAAGCGATATTGGCCCGCTGAAGGCGACGATGCTCTCAAGAGAAAAATGTTCAAGGAGGCTGCGGAGCAGATGGGAGTGTATGATGTGTTACGAAAAGGGACAAAGGAGTAAATTGCGACGCATTGATTGCCGGCGCTTAGATATACACTGATGTACTCAAATCATGTATAATAGCATAAAAGGGCTCGGCGATGCCCACTGTAACATTATATACTAGACATGCGCAGAAGCAGCATTTGTCAAGATTTATGATAGGAGATAGCATTGCATGAACAGATACATATTACTTTGCTTCTAAGAGAACAACGCGACGAATCATTCAGACTCGACAAGAAGAAATTATGAGATATAATTCTAAAAACGCTCGTATAAGTGCTCTGCATGTACACGTCTACTTGGTATTAAATCAGCCCAAATAAAGCAGCAAGAAACCCTGGCTAGAAAAAGCCCCTGAGACCAATGAGTTTCTTTTATTCCCTTTAGCTGAGTCGCCCTCCTCCCTGAAGAACTCCGTCGCTATGCAATTAACCAAGAACCAATCACTCTAACCACCGCTCCCATAGGCTGCCCGTCTCGCTTTATCCAGCCGCTGTCTTTCACTATGACAAGTCCATTGTATCCTGATCTATACGGTCGCCGACTGAACTTAGTCCTGAATCATCGTCACTAGCATGGCCGTTTTGTTGAGGTGCTTGCTGCTGTGGAGGCTGATCTTCGTCAGGCTGCTGTTCTTCGCCGGGCGCTGGGCTGCTCTGGGGCGAGGCACGGTTGGAGATCCATTCGGCGATGGTGGTCTCTGACCCTCCTTCGACTTGGATCTCGCCTGTGTCGTGGCCACGACCGAGTATGGTACCGTGGTACTTAGCGTCTTCGCCTGTTTTACTGTGTTTCTTTTTCAAAGCTGTGAAGCCACCGTCAGCTGTGCTTTCTGGAAGCCATCCGTAGGAACCAACCATTGAGATAATCTGTAGCATCCGTCTCACCGTCCCCACTACCGACGTCCATCATCTCCTTCATGCGCTGTCCCGCGAACCACGCTATAAACTCTTCAACTCCGCGCAAGTCCTCTTCGCCGCGCCACATCTCTTCGGTAGGTACGCGCTCTGGCATCAGCGCACCCGCGTCCTGAAGCGCCATCCGTATATCAGCGATTGTAAAGTCGGCGCTGTCGCCTTGATTGTGCATCGCATGCTGGGCAGTAGTCTGGCAGAGAAGCGACAGGTATCGGGCGGCAAGATCTGTCAGAGAGTCGAGGACCGCGGGGCGCGTAGAATGATACCCCGTTGAGCGTAAGATCTGGAGTATGGAGGGCCGGAGAAGCGCGTGGAATAGGGACGGCGGCGTCGTCATATTTGTCTGGCGACTGTTGTAGTTTCTATGTGTGAGAGTAAATTGGTGATTAGGTCACTGTGGTGCTCGGCTTGCGATCGTCAAAGGAATGCGTTCGTAAGTTGATAAGTTGCTGATTCGTCTCAGTATCGATGTCGCGGGAGCAAAGCTGGGCCGTCATCGGTATCTAAGGCTATGGCTTCACAGCGCATACCCGAACAATTTGCCTAGAATCTGCACAAAAGTTATTGAAGCTTGTTGCGATGAGCTTCTCCAAAGGTATGAAGTTGGCTCCTTCGGGGCAAGTGCAGATCAGAGCAGAGGTGCAAGAATAATAGGCGCGGCCTAACAATAAAAAGAGTGGGGCCTTTTCTATAGCACCCAGAGTACTCCGTAGGCACACGACTTACACCAACTTGGATGTTAGCTATGGCAACAATGGGTACCGCTGAGAGAAACCTCATAGAAGGTCTCAAAAGCCTTTCTCTCTACATTCTCTTCATTATATAATAGCTTTCACTATCTGAGAGAAAAGTAGAAGACTTGCCTGGGAATATAACATTGTCATTTTTTTTTATCTTACATACCTACCCAAGGTTGTCATCTATATTGATGATCAGGCTTGTGATTAGGGTCATGGTAAGTCCATCGCGAGCTTATGATCAAGCTTATGAGCAGCCCTGAGACACGCGTGTACCATTATTCACAGCCTCTGGTTATATGTAGGCTGCCATTGTGTCCGAGAGCCACAAGATACCACGAGGGGCTTCTTCTGATTACTGATTGATAAACCAATGAAATATATAATACGATTTCCTGTCATATCACGTTATGGCGCATTTCCAACCTGAGAGCTTACCAAAGTGTTCTCCGCCTCCTCCCCTGATATAATACCCTCATAACATTCTCAGTGGTACATATGTATTTATACAGTCATCCTCTCAGTCTGTTTCTCAAGCTTGGCCTCATCATCTGCTATGCCACTGTACTTGTTGATCCAATCCAGGACCTCTCTATGCCAAACGAGTGAGTTCTCCGGCTTCAGCACCCACTGCATCGATTATCAGCAAATAAACAAGATATACCAATCGTCTCACCACTCACATGATTCTCATCGGGGAACATGACGAGCTTGCTAGGCACTTCACGAGCCTGCAAGACATTGAACATGGCCAATCCTTCTGAGATGGGCAGTCGGTAGTCGAGTTCGTTATGAATGACCTAGAAAGGTGTGAGCATATTTCTTGTCGCCACCTGGTAACATGCTTACCAGCTGAGGGGTGGACCAATTGCCAGTATGCAGAGACGGATCCCACTTCTCATATCCAGCACGGTTCTCCCACAATGTTCCACCGAAATCATGCTCGGGGAAGAAGAGCTCTTCAGTCGACCATTGGTTTTGTGTTGAGAAAACGCCATCATGGCACACTAAAGCCTTAAACTTACGGCCCAAATCATGACCTTGAATCCAATCTGTCCTCGTGTCAGTATAACTCCAGCCTAAGAGCGTTTGGACTCACTAATCATGTATCCACCGTATGAGGCTCCCAGAGCAACAGCTCGATTAGTATCGACATAATCGACATGATTCTCGAGATACTCAAAGCACTTCACCAGATCTTCATACGGGGCACCTCCCCAGTGGTTGGCAATCGCATCAATATGAGCTTGCCCGTATCCAGTACTGCCAGTGGGGTTGGGGCACACAGCTATATAGCCCTGCTCAGCAAAGATGGCCGGGTTCCAACGAGTACTCCAATCATCTGTCCACGCTGATTGAGGGCCGCCATGTATTAGGAAAGCCAAGGGATACTTCTTGCTTTTGTCGAAGTGGGAAGGCAGCATCACAAGAGCGTGGTTATCATAGCCGGCAGATCCAGGAAACCAGATCTCGCTTGCTGAAGACGAGGAGAGACCGAATGTCTTGCCGTTCTTGGAACTGGTGGAGATTACTTTGACAACCTTAGTCTCCGGGTCCAGGACTCCGTAGCTCGAGCTCTCGATTCGTGACTTGGATGTAATGAAGAGAGAGTCACTGCCTCCCAGAGTGTGTGCCTCAACGACAGACCCTTCTTTGTGAATGGCCTCTGGAAGATCACGAGCTTTCAGAGTATCGGACGGCAACTTCCAAAGCATTGATCTCCCATGTTTCTCAGCCGCAACATACAGCTCAGTGTCGTCTTTTTTCCAAACAATCCAATCAGGCCTCAAATCCCAACCGCCCTCATCGTCGTCTGTCTGGTAAAACTCTTGAACATTACTTAAGTCGTCCACGTTGGGGATCAACAACAGTCTTGTCTTATCAGATTCATACTGCTGGTGCTTCATTCTAGCAAATACCAACTTCTTGCCATCATTGGAAAAAGTAGGTGCACTACTATAGCCGCGCAGTCGTCCAGTCTTGACGATCTGTGGCTGAGGAGGCTTGTCTGCCCAAGACCTGATGGGTACGTAGTACAGATCTGTCTTGGTGTTTCTCGCCGGGTTCAACTCTGGGTCCTTAGCAACGAAGGCGATTCCATTTTCTGAGATATCAAAGTCCCCTGCTCCACCAAAAGGAGGGACAGGTGAGCTCAGTTGCGTACTAGCCAAAAGGTTTGTGAGCCCATCCTTCTCAAACATCCATCTGTCGTTTGTCTTGGTGAGCACGCCGTACCAAAGCGAGTTCTGATTCTCGGTGTTCCAGGCATCCCAGTGGCGAACGAAAAGACCAGTATATATCTTGGCAGTTGTGTATGTCTTGGGCTCAGTTGCCTGCCAATACATGTTGCCCTTGGGTGTAGTCAATGCGGAGCAAATGAACGCAACCTTACCATCAGAAAGTGCTTTTGCCTTTGGGTTAGAGATGCTGCCTGCAAAAGATTTGATCAAGCGTGCCCTGGTACGTTTGTTAGCTTCCTGGAGACGGCATGTTGCCTTCAATAGATGCTCACTCGGAACCATCCAAGACATGCTGCTGGTAGAGAGATGAGCAGCCATTATCATTTGTTCGAATCAAAGCAATTTCTTTCTCTCCAATCCAAATAGGATCGCTAACATGAGCGTCCTCGGAAACGAGATGAGAAGAGTCATCTTTGATATTGAGAACACGGATCTGGAACGACTTGGAGTGGCTCTCGAATGAGTACGACGAGATCTGAGCATGTTAGCATGAGTTTGACACAACCAATTGAGGGCATTGCCAAGCTCCAACTCACAGTGTAGAGGACGAGCTCCCCAGTGGAGTTTGGGACTCCAGTTGAACGACGCGGGGCCGAAATCAGCACCTCAGGCGTGAACCGCGAAGCCTGCCTCGTCATCATAGAGACAGAGAGCGAGAGAATGCGGTGCTAGTAATTGGAGGTGATATGAAGGGGAATCAACCAAAGAAAGGACTCTGGGGGGTATTGAAGAGAGGAGAATCAAGAACCCCTGTGTCCAGTTGACACACTCATCATACAACCAGCCCAGGTATGCAGAACACCTATAAGTGCTAGTGCCATGGCTTCCCCCTCACGACTCCTCCATTCTCATGACCAGCCGCCCGCTCGGCCCCTCTCTTCCGGTGAATCCACTGCTCATGCTACCTTCCTTTATAATTAGTGCTACCTAACCTTCAAATCAAAAGTTCGCAATGATACTGGCCGGCGGAGAGTTCTACTTTACGGAGTAGGATGAAGGTAATCCGTTTACATGCATCTATAGAAATTGAAAGGATAATCAAGGTCTAATCTCACCGCAAACCCTGCGATTAGCCACAACCTTACCTGACAGACGTCACGTCGCTTCGATCTGATTCATGTCGAGGTGGGATAGCTTAAAATGATTTCAAGACATGACACACAACCTAAACATAAGCACCTATGTAACGACAAATGGGAGACGATACACTGAACTTGACTTCACCCGTAAGGCAATTGCCAGTAACGGGGGAACTGCTGTGAGTGGTACCTTGACGGTTCTCAAATGCTTAACAACCTCCCCTAAGAATGGCATATTTTCGTGCTAATTCCAGCCTCAACCTACCGTGATCTCAGTCCCAAGCCACCGTCTGTCTCAAGGGTGATCTATATTATGAATACTAACGCCATCCTGACCCCTACCGTTGAGTCCATTCCCTGTTAAACGCCCAATTCCATGAGTATATCTTTGTACATATGCTATTTGCGCTGTGCTCCAAAATTCGTTCGTTTCTTGCTCGTCGAAGTATCGTTTTCGCTGTCCTCATGCTCGACCGTTTTCTTCTTCGACTTGCTTGCGTTCTTAACCGCAGTCGAAGATGTCGGTGTCGGGTGATTCGAGGGTCCGTCTCTGAATGCAGCGGATAATGGTGTCGCGCCAGCTGGCGTCGAGCCTCCTGATCCAGGTGTAATACCCTCCTGCGAGAAGCATTATTAGCCTATCCCGTGTGATGTTGTAAATGATATTCATCCATACTAGGTTATTAGGTCGGTAGGAAAGGGACGATCGTGAAAAGACTCTGTTCTGCTCCATCGGACCAGCCTTTCGTCGCTGTGCTGCCGCGCCACTCATGCCCTTCATGTAGTTGTCGAAACCAGTGATGATGTTGCCGCTTGGTGTGCTGTCGAGGTATGCAGTCTCCTTCTGGGAGATGCTGTCTTCAACTTGTGTCTATGACAATATCAGCCGAGTTCAAATACAGTCTACACCCAGTGGGCCAGTGCGCACCAAGCGTTTCTCCAGCATTCTGCGCTTCTCGACCAGATCGCGAACCCGAGCTTGCGCCTTCTTGTACTCGGACATCGTCACTTGTCCAGTACCGGGTACAGCTCCGTTCGGTGCCTTTCTCTCAGCCATGCGCGTTGTTGTCTCAGCAGGTCGGCGTTAATGGGTTTCGACACTTGATGGATGGATGTCTTCGGCAAATGGGATAATGAATGGTCGCGTTTGAAAGCGAGGATACTGGTTAGGTTGCGATTAGATAATGCGAGGCGCTTAAAAGGAAGCGCGGGAGCCGCGTTAGACGCTTATGCATCTCGGTTAAAATGGATTTAACCACAAAACAACAACGAAAATGATCA